CAGTTTTCAGCCGCCTCCCGGACAGGCCGACCGGGAGAGCAAGCACTTGTGACCATCCTGTATTTTAATATAGCTTTTAATTTATTTTGATCTATTTTAGCCTGTTTTACCATCTTTTATATATTTTATCGGCATTTTACTTACTCTTTTAATTAAATGACACATATTTTCTTAAATATTAATTTTAACTTGTAATAATTGTTAGTTTTAACCAGTATTAATAATCTGTTGTACAATATTTGTGGGGAAGAGGGAGCTGAGCCAGAAAGCCAGGCTCTCGATTTACCGGTCGATCTACGTCCCAATCCTCACCTATGGTCATGAGCTTTGGGTAATGACCGAAAGAACGAGATCGCGGATACAAGCAGCTGAAATGAGTTTCCTCCGTAGGGTGGCCGGGCTCAGCCTTAGAGATAGGGTGAGGAGCTCGGACATTCGGGAGGGACTCGGAGTAGAACCGCTGCTCCTCCGGATCGAAAGGAGCCAGTTGAGGTGGTTTGGGCATCTGGTCAGGATGCCTCCTGGACGCCTCCCCGGGGAGGTGTTTCGGGCATGTCCTGCCGGCAGAAGGCCCCCGGGTCGACCCAGGACACGTTGGAGAGGTTACATCTCCAATCTGGTCCGGGAACGCCTTGGGGTCCTGCCGGAGGAGCTGGTGGACAAGGCCGGGGAGAGGACGGCCTGGAGCTCCCTAGTTGGGATGCTGCCCCCGCGACCAGGACCCGGATAAGCGGAGGAAGACGAGACGAGACGAGACAATATTTTTATAAATTTAATTATATGTTTCTACCTGGTTATCTTTTATCACTGTGTTTTATTTAGATTTTTATTTATCAGCTGTTTATGTTTAATTTGTTTCTTAACTTGTTAACTTAATCTCATTAGTAAACTAGTGTTTCCTCTGTGGGGGCTGGCTGTCCCGGGGGCAGCGGTTGGCTGTGGCAGCCGGGGTGCTTCTCGTGCCTCCTCTTACCGAGGCTACTGCTGCCGATCCTGCTGCTCCCGGTGCAGTTGGCTCCGTTGATGACGTTTCCGTCTTCTTTGTGCCTATTACACCTGCGCTCAACCAGCAGCCCTTTCTCTTTTACGTGTGTGTGTGTGTGTGTGTGTGTGTGTGTGTGTGTGTGTGTGTGTGTGTGTGTGTGTGTGTGTGTGTGTGTGTGTGTGTGTGTGTGTGTGTGTGTGTGTGTGTGTGTGTGTGTGTGTGTGTGTGTGTGCGTGCATGAGTTTGCATCTTCTTGGGACGGGATTGAGGGTGGGAGGAGGGAGGATACAAAGGGGATCTCGTATGTGAATCTGTGTGGGAGGGGTGGGAAACCGACTGCTGTCTGTTTTTAATATTGTAAAGCGCTTTGAGTTGCATTTGTATGAAAAGCGCTTCATAAATAAATCTGATTTGATTTGGTCCTCTCTTTTGACCTCAAGGTCAAAGCCAAGGTCAAAGCCATTGTGTCCGGTGGCCTCACCACCCTGGCTGCCTCTTCTCCGGACCAGCGAGACCAACCGTCAACACAAGGTTATCGTAGATGCACACTGGCATCAGATAAGTTTATGAATAATCTATAGCTTGTTAAGCCTTACAGTCAAACTGATTTTACAACCCAGACATCACAAGATCTCTCACATGCTATATAAGGCTTTGCTAAAGAAACATCTAGCTTACATTCCATCATTTCATTCATTGTCTGTAATCTTGTACAACCACCTTTTCATTCATACTTTGTCATGTATTAGTTTAGAAATATAGAAATAAATTAATTTTTATATACTCTAAACTTCACTCTGTCTGAATTAATGTGAAGTGTGTGTTCCCTGAATAGTCCAAAGAATATTAAATCAAATATTCAAAGACCAATCAGATCGAATATTCCCATTTATATGGAATATCGCATCTTATCGATCATTTAACAAATATGTATCGACAGCCACCATGCTACAGCTGCTTTGTCTAAAACATTCAGAGCATCAATTAATCGTTCTTAAATGAACTACTTTCATTTCATCACATGGATGCAGACTTGGGCGAAGTGCAGATCACGGGTGCAAAAGAGGCATGATCAACTTCCGCACTTGAGAATAGTGACATCCTGTGCACTCGCACCCCTGGCCAGGAATGTTCAAATGAAAGGTACAAGTGTGTACGTGCGAGTATTGGGATTGGGCCAAAGACACCCCGTGGTCTGGCGCCGCCTATTGGAGCTGTCGTAGCAGTGGCTCGCCATCTTGGATGGGTCTCCATTCACCTCCAGCGCATTTATTTACAGGAGCTGAAGTAACACTCATCTGCTTCCAGACCATGGGTCCCCGAGTGAACAAATAGAAGGAAAGCAAGTCACTGGGAGTAAAAACGCTACTTTCTGATCGCATTTGCTATGTGCAGTTTATTTCACATATGATGTCCGTGAAATTTGAAGATGCATTCTGATGTCAAAAATGCTTATTTTTGAACGGGGCACCAATTATTGGTAACAATTTAGAAGAAGGGTTCCTTTATTAACATTACTTAGTGCATTATTAGGCATTAATAAACTATTAATAAAAGTATTAAAAACTGTTTAATAGCTATGTTAATAGTGCTAAGCAGACATCCGTGGATGATTCTGCCATGTTTTGGGGAAGGCGGTTGACTCAAGACAAACAGATTCAGCACAAGACACAGGACATGAAATTATAGAACAAAGTTTATTTATAACTGAAAAAGCACCATCAAAAGGAGGCGAGACTGAAACCTGGCTGTCCAGGACGTCTGGAAATGAACATAGGTTAGTGTGTAGTTTGTAGCGGGAAGTTGCACTACATTGCCGGTTGCTTACTTGCTCTGGTTTTCGGGTGGGGTTCAAGATGAGGAGAGTTCAGGTCTGAGAGGCCGTTTGTGGGAGGCTGGTGTCAGAGGAGGTCCAGGACGAGAATTGGTGGGTGGTGGGGAGCGGGTCAGTAGAAAGCAGGAGTGAAGCGTGGTCCAGAGTAGGGGTTGTATCAACTAGTCACTAGTCAACTTCACTGCTCTGTAGTGACTTTTTATGCCTGTCATCGACTAGTCGCTGTCACGTGATAATGACTGACAAGATGCAGTCCTCGGAAAAGACAGCAGGTGACGAGTCCCAGCACATTGGGAAGTGACGCACTGTGTCAGAGCGTCGGTATCTGACGCCTGCTGTAAAATTGACATTTGACCAAATTGTGACCTTTACCCTCTTGCAATTTGCCCTTCCCCTCACCCCTATCCTAACCTTAACCAGCTTGCACATGCAGAGCTCTGATTGTTGACACAATCCAGACATCTGTGTTCTGAGCACGGCCACAGTAACATTATCAAATTAGGTGTCGCCACCTCAAAAACAAATTTAACATGCGATTGATAGGTAATTAATTTTATCCCATATTACCTTAAAGGACGACACACCCGGAGAGAGAGAGTAAATCTTGATTATTTGTAATGTCCATGTGCGTGAATCAACATGCGAGAAGCTGGACTCAACCAACCAGCCCCCACTCTGCTCCAGCCTCAAAGCCTTCACCTCACCAGCTCTGCATACCCGCGGTCTCCATCAGGAGACCAGACTGTTAGGTAATATTTAATCTCCATAACCCTGGAACCTGAAATAAACACACATGACAACAAGGAAGACATTTTACCCTGAGTCCCCAAAATATGGAGAGTTAATGCAGAGGAACCTCCTCCGAGGCTTCCCCACGTCACTCCCATGTGCTCCCAGTTCGTCAGGAGCTTTATTCACAAAGGATGGAGGAGAAGGCGGGCCTTCTCAGGTTACAGAGGTACAGAGGTTTCCTTGGAAATCTACAATCAACATCCTGGAAATCCACAATCAACATCCTTGACTGCAAACAAGCTTCTCTGCTCAACCTTTCATAAACAGCCACAGTTGGCAAACACAAGAGATTCATGAAGTGTTAATAACACAAAATGGACATCTTTTAGGCCTCAAAAAGGTACAATTATAAAAATATCCAACAGCGATCCTTCATGTCGGCTCATTTCCTTTTATGTTTTCTGTCTTTTATTTGTGACTGATGTGTTTCACTGCTGTGGAGTGGAGTGCATCACCTGTTTCATCCTCCGGTGACACACTTCACCAGTGTGGCTGGCGCGCAGAGCACACTCCGCTGTTTTTGCAGTCGGTAGATCTTTTAGAACTGCAGTTCAAAGGTAACTTATAAGGTGAATATATATGAAGCCATGTAGCAGTTTTTCTTTAGGATTGACTGGGATAGGATTTTTCTTTAGGATCAACTGTTTAGGACTGTCATGTTGTGGGGCAAGAGTCTAACCTAGGACATGCAGAATCAGAGTCAGAGTCGGGTTGTTTGAAAAAAATGTTTTTTTTTTTCACAAAACGATGAACTAAGAGCACACTGGAAAACCAGCGGGTGCAGAAATGGGAAGCAGCGTCTAGAGGGGAGAGGAACAGGGGTGAGTTTGGAAGTAGTAGTATGGTAGGGGAATTTCTGACGGAGGGACTTACGGCTTAGAGAGACGAGATGTATGTGGGAGGGGTGAGCCGGGGTAAGTCCAGGGAATGAATGTAGAGCGGTTGAGGTGAATGGTGAAACTGGATCCGGACCGGGGTGGTTCTGGAGAGGGAGCGAGAGGTGGAGGAGATCGGGTCGGCATGTGGAGGAGGGTGAACCAGGAGACGAACCAGAGAATAATCCAAAACAGCGTCGGAAAAATCCTGATGGTAATCCAGACCTAAAGTGAGTAAATCCATAAAAAAGTATCAATCCAAGTCACGAGAGAAAAACACACTAGAGAAACTAGAGCTAGAGATAAGCGAGGGCTAGAAACTACCAGTCAATGGCAATCATCCGGCGTCGAGTCATGTCCACCTTCCTCCTTATAAACCGGCCCGCTGATCAGCTGATTAGAAGCAGCTGTTGCTCCCTCTCCTGAAACCAAGCACTCAGAGATCGTGAGAAGATGAGAAGAGTACTCACCCCGGCTCATGACAGATGCAGGAAGATAATAAACAGACAGGACAGAAAAATAGTCAAATAAAAACAAGTTAGTTTTTGTACCTGGTGGTTGCAAACAGACACTGTTCTGCCTTCCAGGCATTTTAGTTCATTGTGTAAAAGTTTTATTTATATGCTTTTATTTTGACATGGAAAACACCCGTAGAACAGGAAGTGCTGTGTATGCTTTTATTTTTACATGGAAAACACCCGTAGAACAGGAAGTGCTGTGTACGTGAGTGACCGTTTACTAGCAACGCACGCTGATGCAGAGAGATTGGTCAAAGAGGGAAAGACGTTCTAAAAAATCAGAAAACCGGCAAACCTTTGCTTAACTCTTGAAGAAGCAACGCCTGTATGTATTCATATTTGTTTTACACAGTTTATTGATACATTTGTGCTAAAGACAAGTTTGTAGAGCTAGCTAAACAAGTGGACATTTCTGGCTACTTCTTTCTACCAGCAGTTGGCGTTGTTGCACTGCGTATTAAGCTAATAATAATTCATTTAGTTGTTGTTACCTGTTAAAATATGCCATCTCCGTTTGTGGGCAATCTGTTTCATTCACAGGTGATTTTATTTAGCAGTTATAGGCTTTGAATTCTAATTTATATTTACTGTGAATTAGATATCAATGAAGAGAGAGATGACTCCATTGTTTTTCTTTTCTTTTTCAGTTTTACTCTGTATTCTAAGCGACAGCAAGTATGTGTAATAAATTTGGAGACTACAGGAACACATCTTTCGTCATTGAGTCAGAGTTTAGCTCACTGTCTAGTTGAAACTACCACTACGTCTCAGCGAGGACAGTACAGTAAAAAGGCGCTGAGTAACCTAGAGTTCAACACCAAAGGTCCCAAGCACAAGGGAGAAACGATGGAACAAGCATCAGTACGTTCAAAGATCACGAAACGCTCTCTCTCCTCTTCGTCCACCACCACAGTACAAGCGCGAGCCAATGCAGAGGCGGCAAAGGCGAGGGCTGCATTCGCAGAAAAGGAAGCAAAGCTAAAAATCGAAAAGGCTACAAGAGAAGCAGAGCTACAATTAGAGAAATCAAGACTGGATGCACAACTTGGGATATTGGAGTATCAGAGAGAAGCAGCTGCAGCCGTTGCACAAGCGGAAGCGTTGGAGGCAGCTGAAGAATTGGAGTTAGTAAAGTCAGATTCGCATGCACGTGAAATCTTACAAAGGGGCATTGTTACACGGACTCAGGAATACGTCCAAGAACAAGCAGAGCTCAAATCACAGCAAGGTCAGGCCGCCGCACATCCTCCAACACCTGGTACAGAATTACCAGAGGAGAGCCTTGTCACGTGGGATGTTCCATCACAAAAGAACTTAAAGGTACATGATGAAGACAGTAACAAGCATGACGAACTGCAAAGCAAAACATTAGTAGACATTCAAGACGAATACGTAAACAACGCTCAAACAACCATTTACTATGGACAAAACAGACTCCAACCAAAGGTAAAGCCAACTCAATACTACCACAGCCCCTCACCAAACCCAATAACAAAAACATTCACCCCACAAGCATTGGTAACTCCCACCAGTGTAACACCAGAAACAGAGCACTTGGCTCGATACTTGGCTCGTCGTGACTTAGTGAGTACCAGCCTCTACCAGTTTGATGACAAACCTGAAAGTTATCGCGCATGGCAGTCTTCATTTTACAGTGCGACTTCAGATATAGGACTCACAGCAAATGAAATGTTAGATTTACTGGTTAAGTGGCTTGGGCCGGAGTCTGGCAAACATGTCAAAAGAATTCGCTCTGTATACGTTGAAAACCCAGACACAGCTCTTCAGAAGGCCTGGACACGTCTCCAGGAATACTACGCTGCACCAGAAGTGATGGAGAAGTCACTATTTAAAAGACTTGATGAGTTCCCTAAGATATCTATCAAAGATTATGGAAAATTAAGAGACTTGGGCGATCTTCTCATGGAAATACAAGGAGCTAAGGAAGAAGGCTACCTGACAGGACTAACATACCTGGACACTGCCAGAGGCATAGGACCTATAGTGGGAAAGCTTCCTTATGGAATACAAGATAAATGGACAACAGTCGGCTCAAAGTTCAAAGAAGAAAACAATGGACTATTTCCGCCATTTGAACACTTCACAAGCTTCATCTGTCAAGAAGCCCGTAGGAGAAATGATCCAAGTTTTCATCTGCCAAACACAGTCGAAAGGCCAAATCAGGCTCCCCCAAAGAACTATGGCAGTAAAATATCTGTTCACAAAACCAATATCTCTACAGAGAAAGGATTACCAACGAACCCACCTGCACAGAAAGCAGATGGACTAGAGAAGAACTGCCCTATTCACAACAAACCACACCCAGTAAATAAATGCAGAGCATTTAAAGCAAAAAATATAGAGGAAAGGAAAGCTATACGAAAACAGAGCGGAATCTGTTTCAAGTGCTGCAACTCAACTAGCCACTTAGCAAAGGATTGCAAAGCTCTGGTGAGGTGCACACAGTGTGACAGCAATCGCCACGACACCGCTATGCATTTAGACCCAACACCTCAAGTACCTACAAGGGCCTCACCCCCAACAAGTGACGGCGGGGAGGAAGAAAGTGCTGGCAGCATTACAGCAGTTAACTCACAATGCACCCAAGTGTGCGGCACAGGACGAATAGGAAGATCATGCGCCAAGATCTGTCTGGTTCGAGTATATTACCATGGACAGCGCGAGAGAGCAGCTAACGTGTATGCCATTTTAGATGACCAAAGTAATCGTTCGCTGGCCCGCTCAGACTTCTTTAACCTTTTCGACGTAAACAGCCAGCTCCTCCCCTACAGACTAAAAACATGTGCCGGGCCGATCGAAACAGCTGGTCGCAAAGCCGAAGGTTTCCAGATCGAGTCTCTCGATGGAAAAATCGTCCTCTCCCTCCCGCCATTAATTGAGTGTGATGAAATACTAAATGACAGGACTGAAATCCCCACACCCGATGCAGCTCGCAGTCACCCTCATCTGAGAAAAATAGCTCAGTACATTCCAGAGCTCGACCCCAACGCACAAATCCTTATTTTGCTGGGAAGAGACATCTTGAGAGTCCACAAAGTTCGTCAGCAAGTAAATGGACCTCACAATGCTCCCTTTGCACAGAGACTAGACCTTGGATGGGTCCTGATTGGGGATGTGTGTTTGGGAAATGCACATAAACCAACTGTGAATGCGTACAAAACAAGTGTATTAGAAAATGGCCGTCCCTCTATCTGCGCACCCTGCAAAAACACCATAAGGCTAACTGAGAACGCCTGCCAAGGAAGGGGGCAAATGAGCTACGCTGGTAAAACGTCATTGGAGAACCTGGGAAGGAGCGTCTTCAGCGAAACAGGTTCTGACAACAAACTTGGCCCGTCCATTGAAGACACAATCTTCCTGGAAAAAATGGACAGGGAAATGTTCAAGGACAAGTCAGGTCATTGGGTTGCACCCTTACCTTTCAGAGCTCAACGACAACGGCTGTCCAACAACCGTGAGTACGTAATGTCTCGCTTCAACTCTTTACAAAAAACATTAGAAAGAAAACCAGGCATGAGAAGCCAGTTTCTTGAATTCATGGACAAAATTTTCCAGAACAAACATGCAGAGGAGGCTCCACCCTTAAATGAAGAGGAGGAGTGCTGGTTTTTGCCGACCTTCGGAGTTTTTCATCCACAGAAACCAGAAAACATACGAGTGGTTTTTGATTATAGTGCAAAATACCATGGCGTGTCTCTAAACGACTCCCTTCTAAAGGGTCCCGACCTAAACAACTCCCTGATAGGTGTCTTGATCCGCTTTAGGAAGGAGCAGGTTGCGGTGGTTGCCGACATACAGCAGATGTTCCACAGTTTCCTCGTTCACAGAGACCACAGGAACTATCTGAGATTTTTGTGGTACAGAGATAACGATATGTCCAAAGACATCATTGATTATAGAATGCGGGTGCATGTGTTCGGGAACAGCCCGTCTCCGTCCGTGGCCATCTATGGGCTCAGGAGAGCTATTCAGGAGGGAACAAACAAACACGGAGCAGACACAGTCAAGTTTGTCGTATGCCACTTTTACGTAGACGATGGCCTCATTAGTGTGCCCTCAGATGCTGAAGCCATTAGCCTACTGCAGAGAACCCAAGCCTCCCTCAGCGAATCAAACTTAAGACTGCACAAGTTCGCGTCGAATAGTGACACTGTCCTCCAAGCCTTCCCAATTGAAGATCGCGCTGTTTTGAAAGATCTGGACCTCAGTGGCGAGGCTATACCAGTGCAGCGCAGTCTGGGCCTATTATGGGCGACCACAACGGACACCTTCACATTCAAGGTGTCAGAAGACAGAAAGCAGTTCACTCGCAGGGGTGCTCTTTCTACAGTGAACAGCATTTTCGACCCCTTAGGCCTTCTCGCACCAGTAACCATTGAAGGAAAAAGTCTATTGAGAGAGTGCAGTGCAGACAAATGTGATTGGGATACACCTCTTCCCGAAGACAAGCTCAAAGAATGGGAAGCGTGGAGAGAGTCTTTACATGATTTGAACACACTACAAATTCCTCGAACATACACTGCAAACTCACTCTCCAAGGCCAAACGCACTGAGCTATGCGTGTTTTCGGATGCATCCACCAAAGCCATTGGAGTTGTAGCCTACCTCAGAACGGTCCAAAGCGAAGGAAAAGTGGAAGTGGGATTCATTATGGGGAAAGCTAAACTAGCTCCTCTCTCCCAACCTACAATTCCTCGGCTGGAACTATGTGCTGCGGTACTTGCCGTGGAAGTTGCAGATATCATCCAAGATGAACTGGACCTGAAGTTGGACTCGGTTAGGTTTTACTGCGACAGCAAGGTCGTACTAGGGTATATCTACAACCAAACGAAACGCTTCCATGTCTACGTTCACAATCGAATTCGACGCATTCATCAGTCGACAAAACCAGGTCAGTGGTTCTACGTCTGTTCGGAGGAGAATACTGCAGACTACGCATCCAGATCAGTTCCTGCATCCTCACTAACACACACCATATGGTTCACAGGACTGGCATTTTTGTACAAACAAGACAGTAGTGGGGAAGACTTAGGAATAACGTATGAACTCGTAAACCCTGAATCAGACACAGAGGTGCGTTCTGAAGTGACCAGTTACCTCACACAGAGTCAAGGAAAGGGACTTGGTGCCGCAAGATTCACACACTTTTCAACCATGCGCTCTCTCACCAGAGCATTCGCTATGCTCATTCACATAGTTAAAACCTACAAACAGAGGGAGTATAGTGCATGTAAAGGGTGGCACTACTGCAAACTCCCACACACTCCTGATGAGTTATCCCAAGCTAGATTCATCATCACCCAAGCGACACAGGAAGAGTTTCTTTCCAGTGAAATCTCAGATCTCTCACTCACACACACTGTGTCCAAAAAGAGTACGCTCTATAAGCTGAACCCTATCCTCAAAGAAGGTCTGATCTGCATTGGTGGCAGATTAAAACATGCAGACTTGAGCGCAGCAGAGACCAACCCCATAATCTTGCCGAAGAACAGTCACATCTCTCTGCTCCTAGTGAGACAATATCATCAACAGTGGAAACAAGTGCAAGCCCTCGCTGACGAGTTCTGGCGCCGCTGGCGGCAGGAATATCTTCCCACTTTGCAGACCCGAAGGAAGTGGACAGATATGAAGAGGGATCTGAAAGTTGGAGACATTGTGCTCCTGAAGGACTGTCAAGTTGCACGCAACAAGTGGCCTATGGCTAAGATCACTGCGGTCTTTCCAGGACGAGATGGCAAAGTCAGAGAAGTCCAGCTAAATGCATCAAGTCAAGGCTCTTTAAAGACTTTTCAGAGGCCGATTAGAGAAGTAGTTCTTCTTTTGCCTACTGACTAAGGTAGTCTTTGTTAAAATGACCTAATAAGTTCAGACGGGGAGTGTTCTGCCTTCCAGGCATTTTAGTTCATTGTGTAAAAGTTTTATTTATGTGCTTTTATTTTGACATGGAAAACACCCGTAGAACAGGAAGTGCTGTGTATGCTTTTATTTTGACATGGAAAACACCCGTAGAACAGGAAGTGCTGTGTACGTGAGTGACCGTTTACTAGCAACGCACGCTGATGCAGAGAGATTGGTCAAAGAGGGAAAGACGTTCTAAAAAATCAGAAAACCGGCAAACCTTTGCTTAACTCTTGAAGAAGCAACGCCTGTATGTATTCATATTTGTTTTACACAGTTTATTGATACATTTGTGCTAAAGACAAGTTTGTAGAGCTAGCTAAACAAGTGGACATTTCTGGCTACTTCTTTCTACCAGCAGTTGGCGTTGTTGCACTGCGTATTAAGCTAATAATAATTCATTTAGTTGTTGTTACCTGTTAAAATATGCCATCTCCGTTTGTGGGCAATCTGTTTCATTCACAGGTGATTTTATTTAGCAGTTATAGGCTTTGAATTCTAATTTATATTTACTGTGAATTAGATATCAATGAAGAGAGAGATGACTCCATTGTTTTTCTTTTCTTTTTCAGTTTTACTCTGTATTCTAAGCGACAGCAAGTATGTGTAATAAATTTGGAGACTACAGGAACACATCTTTCGTCATTGAGTCAGAGTTTAGCTCACTGTCTAGTTGAAACTACCACTAAGTCTCAGCGAGGACAGTACAGACACCATTGAAGTTAATCAGAAGTGAGGAACAGAAAATGAAATAATTATTTTAATGTTTAGAGCAGCAGGAACTCTGAGAGGCTGCAGGTGCATCAGCAAGTTTGCGGCCGCTGCGCGCGCGGGGGTGTGTGTGTGTGTGTGTGTGGGGGGGGGGGGGCTGAATCAAGATGCAGAAACTACCGTTGTTAAAAGAAATGTGTGTTAACTTAGAAAATGTGGGCGCAATTTTAATTGTCAAAATCTCCTGCGCAACCCCCCTCCCCCTTCCCCCCACAGATGTATGATGTCATCAACGACTAGTCGAAGTCGACTTGATTTTCATTACTTGACGGTCGACTTTAAAAAAAATTAAGTCAGGCAACCCCTAGTCCAGAGTAGAAGTCCCAAATCTTTATTGATGACGAGTTGAATGTGGTAGCAGGTATCCTAGGCGCGAGGTAAAAAAAACACAAAGTGATTCATCTGAAAGACTTAGAGAAAACTTATGAGTTACTCGGAAGTGGCTAGAGACACCCAAGGCAGGTAATACCCAATCATCCGACAAGGTGTTGTCATCTCACTCTTCCTTTTATGCTGAACTGGTTGATGGAAGATTGGAAACAGCTGCCCGCTCCTCCACGTCGCCACCTACCTGCAATTAAGTTCTCAGGCAAGATTAGGAAGGTGGCCACTCACCAGATCATGACAGTAAGCTGCTGGCAGGCAACACTTACAGGGAATGCCACAACCAAGTGGCTTGCATCGTGTACAGAAACATCTGTCCAGAGTATGTCCTGGAAGCCTCAATGTCATAGTGGGTAACACCCTCTAAGGTGGGAGAGAACAAGACAGCCAAGCTCCTGTGGGACTTCCAGATCCAGACGGACAAAATGGTGATGGCGAACCAACCGGACATCGTGGTGGTGAAGTACCAGGGCCTCAAAGATGAACTTGAGAAAGCCTGCAGAGTGAAGACATTGGTGATGGCCACGGTCACCCGGGCACTCAGGACAGTAACCCCAAATTGGAGGAATGGCTAAAGCAGATCCCAGGAAAAACATCAGACATCTCAGTCCAGAAAAGCGCAGTTCTAGGAACAGCTAAGATACTGCAAAACCCTCAAGCTCCATGGCCTCTGGTAGAGGGCCTGAGCTTGGAAAGATGAGACCAAATATCTTGATGAATAGCACACAAACTGTTTGTAGTTTATCATCGTAGTGTTGTACAAAATTCTTCAATAAAAAAAACTTTAACAACAAATGTATCTAAATTATGCAAAAACTAAAACCAAGCTCCTTGTACTCCTATTTCTCCTCCATGTGCTCAGGAATAACTATGATGAGGAGACGATGTATTATAAACTACAAATGAACCTAAAACAAACTTTGATACCACACAACTGTTTGTAGTTTTGTATTGTTTCACAAACTAAAACCCAGCTCCTTTTCCCTCTGGACAATGTTGTCATCATCCCCCAGTCACCTATCACATTTAGTGAAGTGGACCCAAACTTTAGAGCTCGTTCTTTCTACCGTGCTGCTTGCTCTGTTTACAGCTGGCCCACAGCGACTGATGACATAACACTCTTGCGCATGCGCTGCTGTCTATCTTGGGAAATCAGGTACAGAACTCTATGATACCAAAACAAGGCACCACATGAATCAGTCCTAAGTCGGTACCACGGTATTCGGTCAGTGCCTTTAAAAGTAGCAGTTACGGTACCCATCCTTAACTAGGGGAGCAAAGATCATGTAGTGATGTCATATATGCGTCGTACCGATGTCTGATTTGTAGTCATGCTAATTACAAACTTTTTATAAGCTGATAAATTTCAAAGTACAAGACAGATGTAGTCGAAACACGCATCATTACTTTCCATTTAAACTGAAGTACAATATATGTGTGATCCAGGTTGCAGTGGTAGGCAACCCTGGTCCTAGAGAGTCGCAGTCCTGCATGCTTTCCAGCCATGTATGAACTTGCAGCTTCTACTTGGCTGAATACACCTGATCCAGGTAATCAACAACAGGAACAACAAAGATAGTTGGAAAACATGCAGGACTGACATTCAGTTTGGAGTTGAGGAGATTGTCTTGACCAGGACCACACCCCTAAAAGCGCTGAAGCAACTGCCATGTGATTGGTTGATTAGATAATTGCATTAAGGAGATGTTGAACAGGTGTTCCTGATAATCCTTTAGGTGAGTGTAGAGCAGCAGCAGTACTACTCCATACTCTTTACACAAAATGACTGTTGAAGAGTCTGTAAGAAAGTCTGTGATTTGTGTGCTCGTCATTTGAGACGTATATCTGATGGATAAGATCCATCCATCCATTTTCAGCCTCTTATACGGAATTGGGTTGCAGGGGCAGCAGCTTAAGTCCAGACGCCCAGACTTCCCTCGCCCCAGCTGCTTGGGCCAGCTCCTCCAGGCGTTCCCTGGCCAGCTGAGACATATGGGCCATTCCCATCTGTACCGGGTCGGCCCGGGCCGGGTAGCCCCAGTCGGCCCCAGCCTGGCCCGGTTGATTCCACACATCCTTGCCTTAAGCCCATGTGGGCTGTTTAAATCCACCAATCAGAGGCTTGCTCTAATGGAAGGTGTGAATTTGCTGTCAGCAGTGAGTGTGATGGCCCTGGTCGGCCTGAAGCAGACCCCCTCGAGAAGAGGGCTGAGAATGAGCCTTGGTTGGCCCGGAAAAATACCAGGCCACCCAGATATGTAAACAACCTACGCTACCCGGCCCGGGCCGACCCGGTACAGATGGGAATGGCCCAATAGTCCCTCCAGCATGTCCGGGGTCTTCCTATGGGTCTCCTCCTGGTTGGACGTTCCTGGATAACCTCACCAGCGAGGCATCCAGGAAGCATCCTGCCCAGATGCCTGAGCCACCTCACCTGGCTCCTCTCGAGGAGTATGAGCAGAAGATCTACTTTGAGCACCTCCCAGATGACAAAGCCTTTCACCCTATCTCTAAGGCAGAGTCCAGCCACCCTATGGAGAAAACTCATGTTGGTCGCTTGTATCTGCATTCTCATTCTTTTGGTCCCTACCCAAAGCTCATGACCATAGGTAAGGGTAGGAACGTAGATCGACCAGTAAATCGAGAGCTTCGCCTTCTGGCTCAACTCTCTCTTCACCACGACAGATCGGAACAACGCCCGCATCACTGCAGATGCAGCACCAATCCGCCTATCGATCTCAAGCTCCAGCTTTCCCTCACTCATGAACAAGACCCCAAGATACTTCAACTCTTCTATTTGAGGCAGGACCCTGTCCCTGATCCAGAGAAGGCATTGTACACTTTTCTGATTCAAGACCGTGGTCTCAGATTTAGAGGAGCTGATTGTCATCCCAGCCGCTTCACACTCAGCTGCGAACTGCTCCAGCGAAAGCTGAAGATCACTGTCTGATGAAGCCAACAGGACCACATCCTCTGCAAAAAGCAGAGACCTGATCCTTAGGCCACCAAAACAGATCCTCTCAACACCTAAGCTGTGCCTAGAAATCCTTTCCATAAAAGTTACAAACAGTGATAAAGGGCAGCCTTGGTGGAGTCCAACTCTCAACGGTGACTTGCAGTGTTAGAGGTCACCAGAACAGTACTCTGTCCACAGCCAGCTTCATCTGCCCGGAATGCTTTGTGCTTTCCAATCCAAAACACATGCTGTTTCTGACCTCGCCATCTGGGAATCCTTCAAACCAAGGCTGGTTTTCTGCCCTGTTTATGTGTACCTGCAAGGCACAAGACTCCAGACAAAAGACAGAACTCTATACTTTAGAATTTTCACCACTTTACAGGTTATTACAATTACATTATACAATGAATATTTTATTCAAAGTGTTTTAATAAGTCTTGATTACTTGACAGTAGTGAATTAATCAACATTTTATTCTTGAAATTATTTAATTCAGATCTTAAATACACCAAACAAGTCTACTTGATTGTTTAATAATGATGTATTACTAGTTAGGTCACATATTAATTTTAGTATGTTAACAAATAACTGTTAAATCTTTTTTACTTCACATATTAAATTAAATAAGCCTCTTTCAGTTTCTTGGAAAAAGGTGTGACGTCTGAGGATTCTTGTTAACGCCTCTTACACTCTGACTTTTGACTGGTCCAAAACTTAGAAAAAAACGGACCTTTTAAAGAGTAGTCACGAAACTGAAACCAGTTCAAGCAAGATGTCCAGCCTTCATGCTAAATGAATCTCTCATTAGGCGATTAGACCAGTCTTTCAATGGAATACTTTTAGCTGCAAGAACCATACTTTTTCAGAACCAAACAACTTTATTTGCTTAACCTGCAAAACAACTCATCAGACGAGGAACGATCCACCAGCAGACCCAAGGGGGTATCTTTTGACCAGCTGATTTGTGTTTCAAAGGAAGCTACAACCTTTGGATACCAGAAGTCTAATTCCATTTGACAGCCGTGTCAAGCTAACTTCGTCAGACAGCCGGATTGCCAAGAACTCCCATCACAAGGGTAGAGTAGCTCTGGCGTTGGATGGTTACGATTAATTTGATAACTTATTAAGAACCCTAAATTCAGCCAGACTATTTTTACAAACCCAGACATCTTATTCTTTCTAAGACCCTTAACTAGACTGTTAATAACATCTAAGATCGTGTTTCATCAGAGTGTGATTATTGTCTCAGTTGATGTTACCATAAATCATCCTTTGTAATCATTCATCCTGTATGATCATTAGTCACAGAAACATAGTAATACTGTTTTCATCATCAATCAAATATACATTTTCAATCATATTGATAATCCATATTTTTATAGAAAATTTCATTTGATTGAAAACCTATCTATTTTATAATTCATTAATAATTAATTTATTAAAAGTAACCACTTACAAAACGTTACAATGGAAATGAGCCCGACTTACTGCCGCCAATGTGGACCAAGCTCTGACACCGGTCATACAGGGACCTAACAGCCCGTATCAAATGGCCTGCTCCCCCATA